GTCTAACATAATCGTATTTCCACTTGTTACATTTGCATAAGATAACTCATTAGTACTACGGGATCTATTACATATTATCAGTTTTCCAGTACAATTTACATAGGTCTGGAGTTAGTTTTGTTGGGTTTTGGAAATTTAGGACAACCCCTAAAATTGGCGGTGTGTCCTACTTTGAGGCAGTTGCAACACCTAACTACTTCTAACCTTTTAGTCTATGCATTTGTGCAATTTTCCTAACTTTGAACCCCATGTTACTTAATTCTTGTTTAATTTCATCTATCGAACAGTCTATGAGAAGGCCTCTGGCTAGTACTTTAATTAGTCGGTCATATTTTTTGGTAATGAGATAATAATCAATTTTACATCTGCCGTTATAATTGGTTATACCTCGATGAGCATCTTCTGTTTTGGGAAAGATTTTCCAAAAAATCACCCCCAAACCTTGCCCGCGAAATTTAATCCCGTATCTTGCTTCATATTTTTCTTGAAATCTGAATACTGAATTGGTGGTTGGGCTTAGGCAACATTTTCAACATATTATTTTCATTGCTGTCCGAAACATCTTTGGGTAATTCATGAAATTTATTACTGAGGGGAATTTCAACATTATTCTTTATCAATTTAGATGGTCTGGCCGTTTTTTTTTACTCGATTTTTTGACGGCCGTTTAAGCTTAGAAGTCATAAGAGAATTATTATCAGAAATATTAACATTACGGGTATGAATATCCTCCATAATGATAACACAGTCACTATTAGTCTTCACCTGATTAGGGGTATCAATAACATCAACATTGCAAACAGCACTAGAATTTTCATTAACATTATATTCATCATGCAAATTAAGAACCAGTCCACCATAATTAAGTTTAACAATATTATGATGTAATTCACAAAATGCTTTGCACTTATCTTGAAATAAAATTGTTAGCTCTTCACAAATAGTCCTAATTTTCTGGTATTGTTCTATGCCAGGCGACATTGTTTTCTGTGTAAAGAGAGCGTGGCGAATTTTTACGTAATCCTTGAGGTCAGTCGGTTCTTTCAATAATAAGTCGTTACATTCGCTATTCAGTTTTTCATGAGCGTATTTAACAAGTTCATCCGGCAAACCCGACACCAAAGAATACACGAGGCGACGAGCAACAGCTTTCGCATCCTCGAAAGTTAATGGGGGGAAAATCATTTCCCGCCATCTTAATTTCACAAACATAATCCAACGGAAACACTTAGAAGTTCATCACAGTTCAAAATAAAATCCTCAATAATTAGCGCACATCAAAATATGTATAGAGATAAAAGAAGAGCACGAGGGTCGCGTGAAAATGGCGATCCACACAGAAGAGGAGCACTAACAAATAACGTCACATAAGCTCAGCATCGAATCCATATGCTACATTTATGATGACAGCAGTAGTTAACTAATTAATTTTTGTCTCTACTTAAATATAAATTTTTTAATATCTGTATAGTGAACTCAAATTCTTTATTTCTTAATTAACACAGTGATTAAATAGCGTTCCGTACGGCTTCGACAACGACCGAAAATTATATTCATTTTTCTTTTCCTGTTTCCGGATGCGGAGTCAGTTTATTTTACAGAATAAAATTTCTTGTACTCCAGAACTCTTTTCATTCATTCAATCAGTATTGCTATTGAAATGCAACCTGATCTTTTCGATTTTAAATTACATTAATTGTTTGTAATTCTATCACCCTCCTAATAATTTCTTCTTATTGGGCGAACCGACACTTTTTTCGTATAAAGCATAAAAATGCGCGTCTGGATCTGCGAGGCAGGTACTCCGTAATTTGAAATCATTGGCATTGGCGCGCGGCCACTTATCTGAAGTTTTTTTTTAGGCTGTCATATAATTTCACCTCATTCTTTTTGAGTTAAATTAAAATTAGCATTTAATTTTCTTTTTATATATCTGAATTCTAACACAATAATGTTAAAGTTCCAATTTCTTTTTGACGTATATTCTCTATATTTCATAAATTTTTTGGATGACCTATATCTAAAGCGCTCACACATAGGACTCTCTTCTTCAGGAGCAATGAAGTCTTTTGGAGTCAGGTTTCGCTGCCTTTACAGCTTTCTTCGGGCTTTTTGCTTTACTCACCTTTTTAACACTAACTTTCTCAGCAGCCGGTTTCTTTTTCTCTTCTTTAGTCTTAGCTGGTTTCTTAGCAGCTGGTTTAGCTTTCTTGGCTGATGATGCAGCTGCTTTCTTAGGCTTCTTTTCCTGACTCTTTACTCTTCTGACCGGATGCGCTAACTTTAAATGAACCAGTAGATCCTTTTCCTTTTGTCTGAACCAGGCTTCCACCCGCCACACGCGACGTTCGTTACCAGCTCTGCTGAAATAATGCCGCGAGAGCGGCAATTGAGATTGTAATCTGCGTGAAGGGTATTGTGGTCTGGTCAGGTCAGTTATCTGATTTAGACAGCATTTATCGGATCTTTTTCTGTTTCGTGCGAAAATGTTATATAATAATGGTAGGTGGGGCTTAGAAATCTTACCTCTACAATAGGTATTTTTAGTCACATGATCTGAAACTAAATTCACAAAAAGGCCAGGGCTAAAAAATCATTTTTTCCCAATTCTGATACCTCCTATCACTCGGTCCAGTAACTGATATGTCATATGCCCTTCGGGCATACTTGTCATGAGCCGGACACGTTGCATCTAATGCAATATTTAGGCATAATTAGTAATGAATGAATGAAAAAAAAATCATTTTTAACTTACTTCCCCAAGCCATGTTTTTGGGTCATTTTCTTTTTTTTGAGTGCTGATATCCCATCTTTGGATCTACTCATGTAAACCTCATCACCATGCCCATTCTGGAAACATCTCAGGTTGCAGGGAAGTACTGCTGCCGCAGTAGAAACCCTGCATAATCACGTTCGTATCAAAGTATGAAGTAATTTTTAATCATTGGCATTTGCGAGGGCATATCTTTTCGTTTTAACGAAAGCGTTACTTTTTGTCATACCTCGTACTAAGCAGACTGCAAGGAAAAGTACCGGAGGTAAAGCTCCTAAGAAGCAGCTGGCCACCAAAGCTGCACATAAAAGCACACCAGCAACCGGAGGTGTTAAAGGTTAAAAAAAAAAAAAAAAAAAAAAAAAAAAAAAAAAGGCCATTTTCAGGGCTGTACAAATAATTTAATAAGATTCGATATAATTGCTATCATTTGTTCCCTCTTTTTTTTTTTTTTTTTTTTTTTTTTTTTTTTTTTTTTTTTTTAACATTACATTTTTCCGTGGCCCACCAGCGGCCGAGCGGTAAAGTCGCTGAACACTGGTAGTTCGGTCCGAGGTTCGAATCCCGCGAACGGGCTGGCTGTATGGGCGTTTTCGTGGTTTTCCCCATGTGTAACGTGTATACTAGCCAGTTTCCCTTAGAAAGTCCTCCACGAGGGCATCCCTCCTCTTAGGCAGATAGCCCTGGAGGCTTTGCCATACTCACACACACACATTTTTTTTTCGTATTTACATTAGAAGACACTCTTTTAAAAAAGATTTCTTGTGATAGCAATTATTCTAACTAATAAAATTATTTGTAATTCTTGTAAAAGGGTTTAAAAAACACCAAACTATGCGTTGTAGTGACTTTCGAAATTCAAGATTCGAACTACTTTTTAGTACAAATGTATATGGCAAGATGGCGCCACTTCTAAGATGCGCTTTAAACTCCGTTCACCTATAGTTTCCCACAGAAGTTTACTGATAAGTTATTGTTTTAAAATGTACTTGAAAACTTAAACGAATGTGTCCAGAATTACAGAATATTATTCTTATTAAAACTTATCTTATGAATATTAATTAACACTACTTCTCATTCTCATAAGTGGATGACAGAAACGTGAAGAGAAAAACCTGTTGCTAAATTCAGCTTTCTTCGTTATTGCTTCTCTTTCAACTGGTGCAATGTTTCATTATACAAGCTTGTGCTATATAGTTTTGCTATTTATATATATATATGTACTCATAGTATGAGTACATAAGTACAGTGAGTAACTAGTGTATACAATTAAAATTAAAAATATACTCTTGAATGTAAATATACTTACTGTACAAAAATAATTAGATATATGAATGTATACACATGCATACATACGTACATACACACTCATTGAACATTTCTTCTCCAGAATATATAAGAGCACTATGTTTATACCAAAAATAGCTGCTGTAGAGAAATCTGCACATGAATGAATATGTTGTGAAGCAAAAGAGAAATTAAGAACTGTGATTTATTCGGCCAAATCAAACACCAGTCAGTTACAACCAAATCACTAAAGCTGTAAGTGCTGTTACATATGGAAAACGTAGTTCATGTCATGACATTTTTAACAGTTATTGAGCATAGTATTCAATATAAAAGAAAACATAATGCAACCTTTTTTTTTTTTTTTTTTTGTTGTTGTTGTTGTTTTTTTCCATCCTCTTTAATTGCTTTCAGTTTCTGCCTTGCAGTGAGGTAGTTTGGCACAATTCATTTATATTAAATATCTTAATTTTGTTGATTGCCTGAACTCAGTAGTTCTTAATTTCATATCACACATGCCTAGTGCTATTTTCACGCATGAAGCTGCTGAAAAATTATCAGTAAAGACATAAAGTAAGTAATTTAGATCAAATTTTTCATAAAGACAAAAAAATGAAATTAATAATTCATATATTTTAGATAATCCTGTAAATGCAATAACGTATTTAAGAAATGTTAAAACCAGAACTTTTCAGACAAGCAATACCCCTACTTTATTTATATATATATATATAACGAAAAAGTAAGCTCTACACAGCTGTTTATTAAAAGACTTGAATTTCAGAATGTAAAAAAAAAAGTAGAAGAAATGCTATGCTGGAGCAGATCTGCATATATATTTAAATTCTCTAAACATAAATAACTATCCAGGTAAGTTGATTTAGGTATGGCTTTCTTTTATTGAAAATACTTAATTACATAAATGGGAAAAGGAAACAAAGAAGTTTTATAAATTTTATTTCTACACTAAATAATGTCACACAGAATCAAAACACATTGCAGGAAAGTACTGGAATCATTCAGTGAGGCAATACAACTGTTGCCACTTACACTGTATGTAAATAGCTATTGAAATGCAAATTAACCCTCGATATCTATTTCAGAGTGGGGCAGGCAGATGCAATAGAATTCATTGTTCAAAAGAGTTCTGTTGTGCTGAAGTGATCACTCAACTTATAAAGTGGTCAGATCAAATTGCATCCTGTATAGCAAGATGGTGCATGTTTAGGGTAAAGAATGTTCAAGAACTTAGCATTGTTCAACTAAATCTGTAATATATATAAATAGGAATGTAGTTTTTATTGAAAGGTAAGTTTATTCCATAAGTAATAGGAAAATTTGTAGGATAAAAGCATTTTTCAAAAACCATATTTTTCTTCTTAGTTTTTCTTTCTGGTGTATAAATGTTTATTTTTTATAATAATTGTTTTGGAAAAAAGAAGGATATCCCATAATTCTAAATGCTTGGTGAAGGCTTCCACTTATCATAGTGGATCTTCATGTGAATATTTTACTATGTATTTGAAATTTTCATCATGCATGTGCTTTGATTACGTTTTACCCTTTTATGTTGAATATAAAATTGGAAATTCTATGAGTATTTATTGTGTTTAATGTTTAGTGTTTATGATATATTTTTTAAAAAGAAAAATATTCTGTAATTCCAAATGCTTGGTCTATCATATGAAAAACTAAATAGTTTTTTTTTCAAACTTATTAATCATATTACATACATGTTCTGAGCTGGAAAGTTGGAAGAGTGTTCTTGCTGTGGATTAGAAATGCTTACTGACATAGCACTCTTAATTTAGAGAGTATTCCTTGATGGATACCGAATTTATTGCAATTTATATTGAGTGACATAATCAGATTTAAACATGAATGCAGTATCAGTTCTCATTTGAGTAGTCAGTATCGCTTTCTGATGAGGTAGAAAAAATAAATAAGCAGTTGCTGACATACCGAAAGACAGCTATGTTCATTGTTGTACCTGATAATTAGAATCTTGTTATCATCATTGAACTAGTAGTACAATATTTAGAACTACTTCCATTTAAGCATATTTGAAAAATTTACATGAAAGTGAGGTAATACCTTGTGTTTAGAAACAAGAAGTCATCTTCACTTTAATTAGGTCATTTAATGCAAATGGAATATCATCTCACACAGCTGAAATCTGATGGTTATGAGATGCAACATTAATTCACTTTGTGAAAGGAAAGGACTTTCATCGAATTTGTTGTTACTACTGACAAAATCAAATGTTTTATATTCGATAAGTGCACAGAACCAGAAGTTCAAACGATTCGTGATGCATACACCTGAAAGCAACAACACTGATATGAAGACATTTTGCTGAATTTGATAAATAGCAAACTTATGGAAAAACAACTGCATTGAAAGCTATTAAGGCTGATGTCAGCCAATGAATTTTGATACCAAGGAATCATGAAAGGCAAAGCATAGACTTATTTCACCTCTCATTATTGTGCGTATATAGGATTAGATCCACATTTTGAAAGAAAGAAATTGGATGCAGAGCAACAAGGATAAAGATGAGCTGAGATGTCAACTTGCAAAGTTGAAGTATATCATTAAATTCTTTTGCAAAGAGTAAGTGTGAATTCCTTTAAGAATGCCTATGTGAAATGAGTGATATGTGGCATAGAATTTAAGGATAAGCAGGCAACAGCTAATCTTTATCATTAGGGCCTTTTTTTATAAAGAAAGCTTTGAAAATTTATTTAGAGCTGGTGTACTTGGTGATAGCTTTGGTACCTTCCCCAACAGCATGTTTTGCCAGTTCATCAGGCAACAACAGTCGTACTGCAGTTTGAGTTTCTTGCCTAGTGATAGTACTCCTCTTATTGTAATGAGCTAAACGAAAAAATTCTGCTGCAATTCTCTCAAAGATGTCGTTAACGAAGGAATTCGTGATGGACATTGCTTTGCTGGAAATACCAATGTCGGGATGAACCTGTTTCAAAACCTTGTAGATATAAATAGCGAAAGATTCCTTCCTGCGCTTTTTCCTCTTTTTCTTGTCACCAGCTCGTTCTCATCCAACTGCTTTAATTTCCATCCAACCTATCTTGGAGAGAAAAAGTTCATTATAATATATGCATATTCAAATTATTTTTATTACAGTTTACTATTACACATATTGTGGGTTGTAGTTATTACCTTCTAATTTATTGTTCTCCACCCAGCTATAAAAAAAAATCTGTTTCCCAATGAGAAATGCTTCATAACCTTTATGATTAATAAAAAAAAAAATATCACAGATGTGTCACATCAAGTAAAGGAATACTTTTGAACTCAGAGTTTTGGGTTACTTACATGTTATTTATTTCTGTATATTGTAAAGGTCAACGGCCATACTATGCTGAAAGTACCGGTTCTCCTCCGATCACCGAAGTCAAGCAGCATCGGGCGCAGTCAGTACTTGGGAGGGTGACCACCTGGGAACACTGCGTGCTGTTGACATATTTTAGTCTCGTTAAAAATTTTTATGCTTCCATAGTAATAATTATTTAAAACACCATTTTTTGTGTGTACTATAGGAAACCTATACTATTCAATAAAATTAATCAGTGGGTGGAAATGCCAAAGCATCTATCGAGCTGATGACATGAAATACTGCAAGAGATCTTGATGAAAACATGAAGGAAAGTATAAGCATTTGGTGAATTGTTATTTATTTAAGATGAATTTAATTACAATATGACACTGGTAAGAAAGTAAATTAATAAGTAAACACTGGCATTCTTAAAAGTGATTAATAATAACTAAAAAGGGAACCATGAGCCAGCCTAAAGGTAGAAAGCTTTTTAAAATAAGATAAGCATATCATATAAAAATAAAAGCTCAGCATAAGTAAGTCATAATATATATATATATATATATATATTTTTTTTTAAATTATAAAATTTATATACAGATGGTCTCATTATAGGAGATAACATTTGGGCAGAAAGAGTTCATCTATTGAGTTTGCATATTGTATTTCAGGTAACTTGGTACTGATTTTCTGAAGAATTTTGGCTATTGAAAGACCCTTAAATAGATTACCTATTTCCTTTAGAAGCTTGTAAACTTCTCCTAGGGAGCTTTAAGTTGAGGCTACTGGTATTAGTACTGTTTACATCAATACAACTTGTATTGACTGGGTGTCTAACATAATCGTATTTCCACTTGTTACATTTGCATAAGATAACTCATTAGTACTACGGGATCTATTACATATTATCAGTTTTCCAGTACAATTTACATAGGTCTGGAGTTAGTTTTGTTTGGGTTTTGGAAATTTAGGACAACCCCTAAAATTGGCGGTGTGTCCTACTTTGAGGCAGTTGCAACACCTAACTACTTCTAACCTTTTAGTCTATGCATTTGTGCAATTTTCCTAACTTTGAACCCCATGTTACTTAATTCTTGTTTAATTTCATCTATCGAACAGTCTATGAGAAGGCCTCTGGCTAGTACTTTAATTAGTCGGTCATATTTTTTGGTAATGAGATAATAATCAATTTTACATCTGCCGTTATAATTGGTTATACCTCGATGAGCATCTTCTGTTTTGGGAAAGATTTTCCAAAAAATCACCCCCAAACCTTGCCCGCGAAATTTAATCCCGTATCTTGCTTCATATTTTTCTTGAAATCTGAATACTGAATTGGTGGTTGGGCTTAGGCAACATTTTCAACATATTATTTTCATTGCTGTCCGAAACATCTTTGGGTAATTCATGAAATTTATTACTGAGGGGAATTTCAACATTATTCTTTATCAATTTAGATGGTCTGGCCGTTTTTTTTACTCGATTTTTTGACGGCCGTTTAAGCTTAGAAGTCATAAGAGAATTATTATCAGAAATATTAACATTACGGGTATGAATATCCTCCATAATGATAACACAGTCACTATTAGTCTTCACCTGATTAGGGGTATCAATAACATCAACATTGCAAACAGCACTAGAATTTTCATTAACATTATATTCATCATGCAAATTAAGAACCAGTCCACCATAATTAAGTTTAACAATATTATGATGTAATTCACAAAATGCTTTGCACTTATCTTGAAATAAAATTGTTAGCTCTTCACAAATAGTCCTAATTTTCTGGTATTGTTCTATGCCAGGCGACATTGTTTTCTGTGTAAAGAGAGCGTGGCGAATTTTTACGTAATCCTTGAGGTCAGTCGGTTCTTTCAATAATAAGTCGTTACATTCGCTATTCAGTTTTTCATGAGCGTATTTAACAAGTTCATCCGGCAAACCCGACACCAAAGAATACACGAGGCGACGAGCAACAGCTTTCGCATCCTCGAAAGTTAATGGGGGGAAAATCATTTCCCGCCATCTTAATTTCACAAACATAATCCAACGGAAACACTTAGAAGTTCATCACAGTTCAAAATAAAATCCTCAATAATTAGCGCACATCAAAATATGTATAGAGATAAAAGAAGAGCACGAGGGTCGCGTGAAAATGGCGATCCACACAGAAGAGGAGCACTAACAAATAACGTCACATAAGCTCAGCATCGAATCCATATGCTACATTTATGATGACAGCAGTAGTTAACTAATTAATTTTTGTCTCTACTTAAATATAAATTTTTTAATATCTGTATAGTGAACTCAAATTCTTTATTTCTTAATTAACACAGTGATTAAATAGCGTTCCGTACGGCTTCGACAACGACCGAAAATTATATTCATTTTTCTTTTCCTGTTTCCGGATGCGGAGTCAGTTTATTTTACAGAATAAAATTTCTTGTACTCCAGAACTCTTTTCATTCATTCAATCAGTATTGCTATTGAAATGCAACCTGATCTTTTCGATTTTAAATTACATTAATTGTTTGTAATTCTATCACCCTCCTAATAATTTCTTCTTATTGGGCGAACCGACACTTTTTTCGTATAAAGCATAAAAATGCGCGTCTGGATCTGCGAGGCAGGTACTCCGTAATTTGAAATCATTGGCATTGGCGCGCGGCCACTTATCTGAAGTTTTTTTTTAGGCTGTCATATAATTTCACCTCATTCTTTTTGAGTTAAATTAAAATTAGCATTTAATTTTCTTTTTATATATCTGAATTCTAACACAATAATGTTAAAGTTCCAATTTCTTTTTGACGTATATTCTCTATATTTCATAAATTTTTTGGATGACCTATATCTAAAGCGCTCACACATAGGACTCTCTTCTTCAGGAGCAATGAAGTCTTTTGGAGTCAGGTTTCGCTGCCTTTACAGCTTTCTTCGGGCTTTTTGCTTTACTCACCTTTTTAACACTAACTTTCTCAGCAGCCGGTTTCTTTTTCTCTTCTTTAGTCTTAGCTGGTTTCTTAGCAGCTGGTTTAGCTTTCTTGGCTGATGATGCAGCTGCTTTCTTAGGCTTCTTTTCCTGACTCTTTACTCTTCTGACCGGATGCGCTAACTTTAAATGAACCAGTAGATCCTTTTCCTTTTGTCTGAACCAGGCTTCCACCCGCCACACGCGACGTTACCAGCTCTGCTGAAATAATGCCGCGAGAGCGGCAATTGAGATTGTAATCTGCGTGAAGGGTATTGTGGTCTGGTCAGGTCAGTTATCTGATTTAGACAGCATTTATCGGATCTTTTTCTGTTTCGTGCGAAAATGTTATATAATAATGGTAGGTGGGGCTTAGAAATCTTACCTCTACAATAGGTATTTTTAGTCACATGATCTGAAACTAAATTCACAAAAAGGCCAGGGCTAAAAATCATTTTTTCCCAATTCTGATACCTCCTATCACTCGGTCCAGTAACTGATATGTCATATGCCCTTCGGGCATACTTGTCATGAGCCGGACACGTTGCATCTAATGCAATATTTAGGCATAATTAGTAATGAATGAATGAAAAAAAAATCATTTTTAACTTACTTCCCCAAGCCATGTTTTTGGGTCATTTTCTTTTTTTTGAGTGCTGATATCCCATCTTTGGATCTACTCATGTAAACCTCATCACCATGCCCATTCTGGAAACATCTCAGGTTGCAGGGAAGTACTGCTGCCGCAGTAGAAACCCTGCATAATCACGTTCGTATCAAAGTATGAAGTAATTTTTAATCATTGGCATTTGCGAGGGCATATCTTTTCGTTTTAACGAAAGCGTTACTTTTTGTCATACCTCGTACTAAGCAGACTGCAAGGAAAAGTACCGGAGGTAAAGCTCCTAAGAAGCAGCTGGCCACCAAAGCTGCACATAAAAGCACACCAGCAACCGGAGGTGTTAAAGGTAAAAAAAAAAAAAAGGCCATTTTCAGGGCTGTACAAATAATTTAATAAGATTCGATATAATTGCTATCATTTGTTCCCTCTTTTTTTTTTTTTTTTTTTTTTTTTTTTTTTTTTTTTTTTTTAACATTACATTTTTCCGTGGCCCACCAGCGGCCGAGCGGTAAAGTCGCTGAACACTGGTAGTTCGGTCCGAGGTTCGAATCCCGCGAACGGGCTGGCTGTATGGGCGTTTTCGTGGTTTTCCCCATGTGTAACGTGTATACTAGCCAGTTTCCCTTAGAAAGTCCTCCACGAGGGCATCCCTCCTCTTAGGCAGATAGCCCTGGAGGCTTTGCCATACTCACACACACACATTTTTTTTTCGTATTTACATTAGAAGACACTCTTTTAAAAAAGATTTCTTGTGATAGCAATTATTCTAACTAATAAAATTATTTGTAATTCTTGTAAAAGGGTTTAAAAACACCAAACTATGCGTTGTAGTGACTTTCGAAATTCAAGATTCGAACTACTTTTTAGTACAAATGTATATGGCAAGATGGCGCCACTTCTAAGATGCGCTTTAAACTCCGTTCACCTATAGTTTCCCACAGAAGTTTACTGATAAGTTATTGTTTTAAAATGTACTTGAAAACTTAAACGAATGTGTCCAGAATTACAGAATATTATTCTTATTAAAACTTATCTTATGAATATTAATTAACACTACTTCTCATTCTCATAAGTGGATGACAGAAACGTGAAGAGAAAAACCTGTTGCTAAATTCAGCTTTCTTCGTTATTGCTTCTCTTTCAACTGGTGCAATGTTTCATTATACAAGCTTGTGCTATATAGTTTTGCTATTTATATATATATATGTACTCATAGTATGAGTACATAAGTACAGTGAGTAACTAGTGTATACAATTAAAATTAAAAATATACTCTTGAATGTAAATATACTTACTGTACAAAAATAATTAGATATATGAATGTATACACATGCATACATACGTACATACACACTCATTGAACATTTCTTCTCCAGAATATATAAGAGCACTATGTTTATACCAAAAATAGCTGCTGTAGAGAAATCTGCACATGAATGAATATGTTGTGAAGCAAAAGAGAAATTAAGAACTGTGATTTATTCGGCCAAATCAAACACCAGTCAGTTACAACCAAATCACTAAAGCTGTAAGTGCTGTTACATATGGAAAACGTAGTTCATGTCATGACATTTTTAACAGTTATTGAGCATAGTATTCAATATAAAAGAAAACATAATGCAACCTTTTTTTTTTGTTGTTTTTTCCATCCTCTTTAATTGCTTTCAGTTTCTGCCTTGCAGTGAGGTAGTTTGGCACAATTCATTTATATTAAATATCTTAATTTTGTTGATTGCCTGAACTCAGTAGTTCTTAATTTCATATCACACATGCCTAGTGCTATTTTCACGCATGAAGCTGCTGAAAAATTATCAGTAAAGACATAAAGTAAGTAATTTAGATCAAATTTTTCACAAAGACAAAAAAATGAAATTAATACTTCATATATTTTAAATAATCCTGTAAATGCAATAACGTTTTTCAGACAAGCAATACCCTACTTTATATATATAGAGAGAGAGAGAGAGAAGAAATGCTATGCTGGAGCAGATCTGCATATATATTTAAATTCTCTAAACATAAATAACTATCCAGGTAAGTTGATTTAGGTATGGCTTTCTTTTATTGAAAATACTTAATTACATAAATGGGAAAAGGAAACAAAGAAGTTTTATAAATTTTATTTCTACACTAAATAATGTCACACAGAATCAAAACACATTGCAGGAAAGTACTGGAATCATTCAGTGAGGCAATACAACTGTTGCCACTTACACTGTATGTAAATAGCTATTGAAATGCAAATTAACCCTCGATATCTATTTCAGAGTGGGGCAGGCAGATGCAATAGAATTCATTGTTCAAAAGAGTTCTGTTGTGCTGAAGTGATCACTCAACTTATAAAGTGGTCAGATCAAATTGCATCCTGTATAGCAAGATGGTGCATGTTTAGGGTAAAGAATGTTCAAGAACTTAGCATTGTTCAACTAAATCTGTAATATATATAAATAGGAATGTAGTTTTTATTGAAAGGTAAGTTTATTCCATAAGTAATAGGAAAATTTGTAGGATAAAAGCATTTTTCAAAAACCATATTTTTCTTCTTAGTTTTTCTTTCTGGTGTATAAATGTTTATTTTTTATAATAATTGTTTTGGAAAAAAGAAGGATATCCCATAATTCTAAATGCTTGGTGAAGGCTTCCACTTATCATAGTGGATCTTCATGTGAATATTTTACTATGTATTTGAAATTTTCATCATGCATGTGCTTTGATTACGTTTTACCCTTTTATGTTGAATATAAAATTGGAAATTCTATGAGTATTTATTGTGTTTAATGTTTAGTGTTTATGATATATTTTTTAAAAAGAAAAAGAAAAATATTCTGTAATTCCAAATGCTTGGTCTATCATATGAAAAACTAAATAGTTTTTTTTTCAAACTTATTAATCATATTACATACATGTTCTGAGCTGGAAAGTTGGAAGAGTGTTCTTGCTGTGGATTAGAAATGCTTACTGACATAGCACTCTTAATTTAGAGAGTATTCCTTGATGGATACCGAATTTATTGCAATTTATATTGAGTGACATAATCAGATTTAAACATGAATGCAGTATCAGTTCTCATTTGAGTAGTCAGTATCGCTTTCTGATGAGGTAGAAAAAATAAATAAGCAGTTGCTGACATACCGAAAGACAGCTATGTTCATTGTTGTACCTGATAATTAGAATCTTGTTATCATCATTGAACTAGTAGTACAATATTTAGAACTACTTCCATTTAAGCATATTTGAAAAATTTACATGAAAGTGAGGTAATACCTTGTGTTTAGAAACAAGAAGTCATCTTCACTTTAATTAGGTCATTTAATGCAAATGGAATATCATCTCACACAGCTGAAATCTGATGGTTATGAGATGCAACATTAATTCACTTTGTGAAAGGAAAGGACTTTCATCGAATTTGTTGTTACTACTGACAAAATCAAATGTTTTATATTCGATAAGTGCACAGAACCAGAAGTTCAAACGATTCGTGATGCATACACCTGAAAGCAACAACACTGATATGAAGACATTTTGCTGAATTTGATAAATAGCAAACTTATGGAAAAACAACTGCATTGAAAGCTATTAAGGCTGATGTCAGCCAATGAATTTTGATACCAAGGAATCATGAAAGGCAAAGCATAGACTTATTTCACCTCTCATTATTGTGCGTATATAGGATTAGATCCACATTTTGAAAGAAAGAAATTGGATGCAGAGCAACAAGGATAAAGATGAGCTGAGATGTCAACTTGCAAAGTTGAAGTATATCATTAAATTCTTTTGCAAAGAGTAAGTGTGAATTCCTTTAAGAATGCCTATGTGAAATGAGTGATATGTGGCATAGAATTTAAGGATAAGCAGGCAACAGCTAATCTTTATCATTAGGGCCTTTTTTTATAAAGAAAGCTTTGAAAATTTATTTAGAGCTGGTGTGTACTTGGTGATAGCTTTGGTACCTTCCCCAACAGCATGTTTTGCCAGTTCATCAGGCAACAACAGTCGTACTGCAGTTTGAGTTTCTTGCCTAGTGATAGTACTCCTCTTATTGTAATGAGCTAAACGAAAAAATTCTGCTGCAATTCTCTCAAAGATGTCGTTAACGAAGGAATTCGTGATGGACATTGCTTTGCTGGAAATACCAATGTCGGGATGAACCTGTTTCAAAACCTTGTAGATATAAATAGCGAAAGATTCCTTCCTGCGCTTTTTCCTCTTTTTCTTGTCACCAGCTCGTTCTCATCCAACTGCTTTAATTTCCATCCAACCTATCTTGGAGAGAAAAAAGTTCATTATAATATATGCATATTCAAATTATTTTTATTACAGTTTACTATTACACATATTGTGGGTTGTAGTTATTACCTTCTAATTTATTGTTTCCCACCCAGCTATAAAAAAAATATGTTTCCCAATGGGAAATGCTTCATAACCTTTATGATTCATAAAAAAAAATATCACAGATGTGCATCAAGTAAAGGAATACTTTTGAACTCAGAGTTTTGGGTTACGTACATGTTATTTATTTCTGTATATTGTAAATGTCAACGGCCATACTATGCTGAAAGTACCGGTTCTCGTCCGATCACCGAAGTCAAGCAGCATCGGGCGCAGTCAGTACTTGGGAGGGTGACCACCTGGGAACACTGCGTGCTGTTGACATATTTTAGTCTCGTTAAAAATTTTTATGCTTCCATAGTAATAATTATTTAAAACACCATTTTTTGTGTGTACTATAGGAAACCTATACTATTCAATAAAATTAATCAGTGGGTGGAAATGCCAAAGCATCTATCGAGCTGATGACATGAAATACTGCAAGAGATCTTGATGAAAACATGAAGGAAAGTATAAGCATTTGGTGAATTGTTATTTATTTAAGATGAATTTAATTACAATATGACACTGGTAAGAAAGTAAATTAATAAGTAAACACTGGCATTCTTAAAAGTGATTAATAATAACTAAAAAGGGAACCATGAGCCAGCCTAAAGGTAGAAAGCTTTTTAAAATAAGATAAGCATATCATATAAAAAATAAAAGCTCAGCATAAGTAAGTCATAATATATATATATATATATATATTTTTTTTTAAATTATAAAATTTATATACAGATGGTCTCATTATAGGAGATAACATTTGGGCAGAAAGAGTTCATCTATTGAGTTTGCATATTGTATTTCAGGTAACTTGGTACTGATTTTCTGAAGAATTTTGGCTATTGAAAGACCCTTAAATAGATTACCTATTTCCTTTAGAAGCTTGTAAACTTCTCCTAGGGAGCTTTAAGTTGAGGCTACTGGTATTAGTACTGTTTACATCAATACAACTTGTATTGACTGGGTGTCTAACATAATCGTATTTCCACTTGTTACATTTGCATAAGATAACTCATTAGTACTACGGGATCTATTACATATTATCAGTTTTCCAGTACAATTTACATAGGTCTGGAGTTAGTTTTGTTGGGTTTTGGAAATTTAGGACAACCCCTAAAATTGGCGGTGTGTCCTACTTTGAGGCAGTTGCAACACCTAACTACTTCTAACCTTTTAGTCTATGCATTTGTGCAATTTTCCTAACTTTGAACCCCATGTTACTTAATTCTTGTTTAATTTCATCTATCGAACAGTCTATGAGAAGGCCTCTGGCTAGTACTTTAATTAGTCGGTCATATTTTTTGGTAATGAGATAATAATCAATTTTACATCTGCCGTTATAATTGGTTATACCTCGATGAGCATCTTCTGTTTTGGGAAAGATTTTCCAAAAAATCACCCCCAAACCTTGCCCGCGAAATTTAATCCCGTATCTTGCTTCATATTTTTCTTGAAATCTGAATACTGAATTGGTGGTTGGGCTTAGGCAACATTTTCAACATATTATTTTCATTGCTGTCCGAAACATCTTTGGGTAATTCATGAAATTTATTACTGAGGGGAATTTCAACATTATTCTTTATCAATTTAGATGGTCTGGCCGTTTTTTTTACTCGATTTTTTGACGGCCGTTTAAGCTTAGAAGTCATAAGAGAATTATTATCAGAAATATTAACATTACGGGTATGAATATCCTCCATAATGATAACACAGTCACTATTAGTCTTCACCTGATTAGGGGTATCAATAACATCAACATTGCAAACAGCACTAGAATTTTCATTAACATTATATTCATCATGCAAATTAAGAACCAGTCCACCATAATTAAGTTTAACAATATTATGATGTAATTCACAAAATGCTTTGCACTTATCTTGAAATAAAATTGTTAGCTCTTCACAAATAGTCCTAATTTTCTGGTATTGTTCTATGCCAGGCGACATTGTTTTCTGTGTAAAGAGAGCGTGGCGAATTTTTACGTAATCCTTGAGGTCAGTCGGTTCTTTCAATAATAAGTCGTTACATTCGCTATTCAGTTTTTCATGAGCGTATTTAACAAGTTCATCCGGCAAACCCGACACCAAAGAATACACGAGGCGACGAGCAACAGCTTTCGCATCCTCGAAAGTTAATGGGGGGAAAATCATTTCCCGCCATCTTAATTTCACAAACATAATCCAACGGAAACACTTAGAAGTTCATCACAGTTCAAAATAAAATCCTCAATAATTAGCGCACATCAAAATATGTATAGAGATAAAAGAAGAGCACGAGGGTCGCGTGAAAATGGCGATCCACACAGAAGAGGAGCACTAACAAATAACGTCACATAAGCTCAGCATCGAATCCATATGCTACATTTATGATGACAGCAGTAGTTAACTAATTAATTTTTGTCTCTACTTAAATATAAATTTTTTAATATCTGTATAGTGAACTCAAATTCTTTATTTCTTAATTAACACAGTGATTAAATAGCGTTCCGTACGGCTTCGACAACGACCGAAAATTATATTCATTTTTCTTTTCCTGTTTCCGGATGCGGAGTCAGTTTATTTTACAGAATAAAATTTCTTGTACTCCAGAACTCTTTTCATTCATTCAATCAGTATTGCTATTGAAATGCAACCTGATCTTTTCGATTTTAAATTACATTAATTGTTTGTAATTCTATCACCCTCCTAATAATTTCTTCTTATTGGGCGAACCGACACTTTTTTCGTATAAAGCATAAAAATGCGCGTCTGGATCTGCGAGGCAGGTACTCCGTAATTTGAAATCATTGGCATTGGCGCGCGGCCACTTATCTGAAGTTTTTTTTTAGGCTGTCATATAATTTCACCTCATTCTTTTTGAGTTAAATTAAAATTAGCATTTAATTTTCTTTTTATATATCTGAATTCTAACACAATAATGTTAAAGTTCCAATTTCTTTTTGACGTATATTCTCTATATTTCATAAATTTTTTGGATGACCTATATCTAAAGCGCTCACACATAGGACTCTCTTCTTCAGGAGCAATGAAGTCTTTTGGAGTCAGGTTTCGCTGCCTTTACAGCTTTCTTCGGGCTTTTTGCTTTACTCACCTTTTTAACACTAACTTTCTCAGCAGCCGGTTTCTTTTTCTCTTCTTTAGTCTTAGCTGGTTTCTTAGCAGCTGGTTTAGCTTTCTTGGCTGATGATGCAGCTGCTTTCTTAGGCTTCTTTTCCTGACTCTTTACTCTTCTGACCGGATGCGCTAACTTTAAATGAACCAGTAGATCCTTTTCCTTTTGTCTGAACCAGGCTTCCACCCGCCACACGCGACGTTACCAGCTCTGCTGAAATAATGCCGCGAGAGCGGCAATTGAGATTGTAATCTGCGTGAAGGGTATTGTGGTCTGGTCAGGTCAGTTATCTGATTTAGACAGCATTTATCGGATCTTTTTCTGTTTCGTGCGAAAATGTTATATAATAATGGTAGGTGGGGCTTAGAAATCTTACCTCTACAATAGGTATTTTTAGTCACATGATCTGAAACTAAATTCACAAAAAGGCCAGGGCTAAAAATCATTTTTTCCCAATTCTGATACCTCCTATCACTCGGTCCAGTAACTGATATGTCATATGCCCTTCGGGCATACTTGTCATGAGCCGGACACGTTGCATCTAATGCAATATTTAGGCATAATTAGTAATGAATGAATGAAAAAAAAATCATTTTTAACTTACTTCCCCAAGCCATGTTTTTGGGTCATTTTCTTTTTTTTGAGTGCTGATATCCCATCTTTGGATCTACTCATGTAAACCTCATCACCATGCCCATTCTGGAAACATCTCAGGTTGCAGGGAAGTACTGCTGCCGCAGTAGAAACCCTGCATAATCACGTTCGTATCAAAGTATGAAGTAATTTTTAATCATTGGCATTTGCGAGGGCATATCTTTTCGTTTTAACGAAAGCGTTACTTTTTGTCATACCTCGTACTAAGCAGACTGCAAGGAAAAGTACCGGAGGTAAAGCTCCTAAGAAGCAGCTGGCCACCAAAGCTGCACATAAAAGCACACCAGCAACCGGAGGTGTTAAAGGTTAAAAAAAAAAAAAAAAAAAAAAAAAAAAAAAAAAAAAAAGGCCATTTTCAGGGCTGTACAAATAATTTAATAAGATTCGATATAATTGCTATCATTTGTTCCCTCTTTTTTTTTTTTTTTTTTTTTTTTTTTTTTTTTTTTTTTTTAACATTACATTTTTCCGTGGCCCACCAGCGGCCCAGCGGTAAAGTCGCTGAACACTGGTAGTTCGGTCCGAGGTTCGAATCCCGCGAACGGGCTGGCTGTATGGGCGTTTCCGTGGTTTTCCCCATGTGTAACGTGTATACGAGCCAGTTTCCCTTAGAAAGTCCTCCACGAAGGCATCCATCCTCTTAGGCAGATAGCCCTCGAGGCTTTGCCATACTGACACGCACACATTTTTTCGTATTTACATTAGAAGGCACTCTTTGAAAAAGATTTCTTGTGATAGCAATTATTCTAACTAATAAAATTATTTGTAATTCTTGTAAAAGGGTTTAAAAACACCAAACTATGTGTTGTAATGACTTTCGAAATTCAAGATTCGAACTCCTTTTTAGTACAAATGTATATGGCAAGATGGCGCCACTTCTAAGATGCGCTTTAAACTCCGTTCACCTATAGTTTCCCGCAGAAGTTTACTGATAAGTTATTGTTTTAAAATGTACTTGAAAACTTAAACGAATGTGTCCAGAATTACAGAATATTATTCTTATTAAAAGTTATCTTATGAATATTAATTAACACTACTTCTCATTCTCATAAGTGGATGACAGAAACGTGAAGAGAAAAACCTGTTGCTAAATTCAGCTTTCTTCCTTATTGCTTCTCTTTCAACTGGTGCAATGTTTCATTATACAAGCTTGTGCTATATAGTTTCACTATTTATATATATATATATGTACTCATATTATGAGTACATAAGTAGAGTGAGTAACTAGTTTATACAATTAAAATTAAAAATATACTCTTGAATGTAAATATACTTACTGTACAAAAATAATTAGATATATGAATGTATACACATGCATACTCATTGAACATTTCTTCTCCAGAATATATAAGAGCACTATGTTTATACCAAAAATAGCTGCGTTGCAGGGAAGTACTGCTGCCGCAGTAGAAAACCTGCACTTTCGTATCAAAGTTGGTTCGGTAATAACTTTATTTTGAGATATTCCTCTTAAATGACTTAAATTACGAAACTTAGCCTTACCCATGTGTTTTGAATAAGACTCGGCTTGAAACTCCTGCTTCCATGCAATCACCTATTTTTGCAACATAATATCAAGATCAAATTTATTGCAGTACATGGTTGAGCCTTGCTGCCACATTAAAGTATTTAATGTCTTGGAATTTTTCCTTTATAATTATTTTATACGATTTCTTTCTTATTACTTTCTTACTATATGATACTATAATTAAGACACAATAACACGCCGAACAAATACTATATAATTATTTTATGCGATTTCTTTCTTCTTGGTACAAAAATAATGTCAGAATTAATAATATGATTATTCAAATAAAAAGATTAGCTATGCTGTACTAAATGCTTTCGGACAGTTTCCAATGTTTGTCTTTTTACCTTAAGTGGCTGTGAGCCTATTTATTTTTTTGCTCAGAAGGATTGCATTATTTTTAATTTAAAAAATGGTCGAAGTTCAGATCCAACTTTTGACATTTCAGTTGATATCTCAAATGTTGGGGTTATTAGTTTAAAGAATGTTAATCATCCTGTTTCGTATTCAGGTCATATTTGGGACCAGAAGCTTCCAATACGTGAAGGTTATAGAATTTTCACGGATGGATCCAAGATTGAAGAAAGAGTTGGATGTTCTTTTGTTGCGCTCTCAATTGGAGAATTATGTGTTATTAAAAAATTCCGATTGAGTGATAATTCAACGGTATTTCAGTCAGAAGTTTACGGAATTTTAAAATCCTTATATTGGATTTTAGATAGAGATTCTAAGGAAGATTTCACTTTTATTAAAAAAGTATTGCTCTATGCACAAATATCCGTGCAGGCAAATAAATATATTTTAGAAAAGGATTCTTAACTGAGTAATTAAAAACTTTAAAGTAACAATGTATTATCCGGTCGATCGGGAAACTATGCCAATCAGCGCGATTTAGGTGCAGTTATTGAAAAGAGTGACGCAAAAGCACTTCATAACATCTGCGCTTGTTTTCGTTTCATCAACAAGAATATACAAGGTGTATCAGTACAGCGGTGACAAACTTTTAGGAGAGACAGAGTACACCTAGACAATGGGAAATCACATAGGAATGCATGGTCGGAAACGCTTTCCTGGCGCGGTAGTAACGACATAAAGCGTAAAAAAGGAAGGACACAAACAGTGAGACAAAACATGTTTTATTGTGTTTAGTACAGCGGAATCCTACAAATAAGAACAAGAACTAACAGCGATCGTCATTAAAGAAGGTATTCGAAATTACGACACCGGACCGTGATGTACCCTCACTTCTCTGGGGCATGGAACATCTGCATCACAGATGGAAAATCGCGTGGAAGATGCATAACGCATGGTTCCTGTATCACGGTCCGTGTCGTAATTTTAAACACCTTCTTTGATAATGATCGTCGTCTCTTTGTGTCGTTTTTCTTTGCCTTTGTTGTACTCGGAATAATAAACATGTTTTCTCACCACGTTCGGGTCTTTTCTTTCTTGACTTTTGTGACGTCACTACCCGCGCCAGGAAAGCGTTCCCGACCATGTATTCTTATGTGATTTCCCATAGTGAGGACAGCAATTCTTCACACATTTCAACCCAAAATAGTTTTATCTTTATCTGATGATGAAGATATGGAAACTAATGAACAACTTGACTCACAAAGTCAAAACCAAAATGAAATAGGATTTCAAAAACCTCGAAAAATTGCGAATAACATTCCCCCCATCATAATAGCTGATGTCCAGAACTGGAAGCCACTACAAGATAAACTCCTCCTACAACTTGTTTCAAAAATCGAAGGTGACAAGAAAACCGGAGACATTCACATAAAAGTTACTACATTGGATGACTACAAGAAAAATCACAGAATATATATTAAATAAACGAAAATAAATAACCATACCTATCCACTGCCAAAAGAAAAACCGATACGTGCTCTCATCCAGAAATTATGTAAGGACAGTTGTCAGGTGACAGCAGGGTCGGGCACCCGGACGGCTTTCAAAGACTAATCGGGTATAGTCCGGGACCCGCTCCATCTATAGCATAACATGTTTACAACATAAAATATCTGGCGTTGCATTACTTGCACGACAGGAGGGCATTGCATGGCGTCATAACTAGACATAACGTGGCATAGCATTCGACGTGACATAGTATAAAATATAGTCATTGCATAGCGACATAACATATTTACAACATTAAATACACAACGTAATGTAACTTACACGACAGGTGGACATAGTATAGCAACATACCATAGTTAAGCATAGATAAGACATAGCGACATAACATATTGAAGTTACATATTTACAACATACAATTCGCAGTGTGGCATGACCTATGCGACAGGTGGACATTGTATGATGACATATCATAGCTTAGCGTAGACATAACATGACACAGCATTGCAACATGATATGACATAGCATAAAATAAGGATTACATATTTACAGCATTAAATACACACCGTGACTTAACTACATGAAAGGTGGGTATAGCGTAGCGACATACCATAGCATCTCATAGACATAATATACATAGTATTGCGGCATAACATATTGACGTCGCAGATTTACGACATAAAATACACAGCGTCATATAGCCTGCACGGCATGCAGAACATAGCCTTGCATATTAACATAGCTCAGAGGCATATATATTGACAAAAACATTTTTATAAAAAACAAGCAAATATATATATATATATAACTAGACATGCGACATGCGACGGAGGACGTGGGCACCACCCCTCCACCATAGGTTAATTGGTGTAGCACCACGTCCACCTTTATCTAAAACAACCCCTGAAGCCACACAAGGGCCCCACACCTGGCGCCCAAACCCAACGCCTAATTCACCCCGGTGGCGGTCCTACTGACCAAAACTGCCCCCGGGAGTTCACTCCATCCTATCGCCCGGGCCCAGTATTTATTAAATCGTAGAATTAATATAAAGATGGCCTTACAAGGGCTACTCATATGATTACATGCATTTTCTGGTTTTACATACAGATTTTGCTTTCTGGCACATTATATTGCACATTATATTGTTATTCGATTATTACATATGAGTGTCTGTAATTACTGATACATATAGTACAGTCATTGGATTTCTGTTTATTAGTTCGGTTCATCGGTAGTAGTTCATGTGTTATAAGCTTTGAGACATTCATGGTGTCGTCCATCCTCGGGTTCCTGCTAAACTTATTTGCTGCAGTTTATATTCACATCCCTTATTTGCTGCAGTTTTATATTCATATCCTGTTGTGAACGTTTGCTTTTGCACCTGTAATGGTGCTTGCTATCAGTAGAAACTTATTTACATATTTACACCATTACATAACTTTCTTTCCACATTGAGGCAAGACTTGTAATGTTGCTTGCTAGACTGAGGAGGCTTAATTACATATTTGCACTATTTATGCTGAAATCAATTTGCGACGCACTCGATTAATACTTTTGCATCAATCATATTTACATATTTACATACGCAGAGCATATTACATATTACAAGCGATGCTTATGAAATCTATTTACATATTTACATTCTTGAGTATTCTCTTAAATACTAGATCTGTAATCTTTACTGATACCATTGGGTCTTATGGTTGCATAAGATTTCTTATATTAAGGATGGCCTATGTGCACTATATGCACATTTTCGAGTATACAGTGCACATTTTCGGGTACATATGTGATAATGCTGTGTGCCAGTAAATTGGAGTACACTTGAAAACACACTTGATTAACACGCTTGCTTAATAAACACATTTGCACTGAGCATATTTACATGTATATAGCGTTGTACTTTGAGGGGGATGCACTGTACATTGCTTGCTTGCACCACTCTACATTTCTGTTTGCATTGCTTGTTGAAGGTATGACTCATGCACATTTATATAGTATTACTCGCGAGCTTATTATATTTATTTACATATTTACTTTCTTAATACTCTCATTGATTCTGGGTCTATAATTTTTACTGCTGACATTAAATCTTATAGTTGCATAGGGTATTTTATTTTGAGGATAACATACGCTTTATGTTACGGAGCTAAATTTGGCACAAATCCAGATTGAGTTCCGCTAATTTGTCCATTAATTGCACAATCTTTTTAATTAGGTGCCGTTGCTTAATCAGATATTTACAGAATGGCTGTCTGTTATTGGCTGGTAGTCTAATGTGGAGACCCTCAGTCAGCGGGCATGTCTCCAAGTAATGCTCTGGCGAGCCCGGTCCTCCACATGCGCACTGACTTGTATTGCAGAAACCACGTTTGTAGAAATAGTCAGGAAAGGGACCGTGCCCTGAGATAAACCTTGCGAGCTGCGTGTTTGCTATATTTCTGTCTGTGTCCACATAACCAAAGAAGTAATGGGTCCTCCTCCCTGTGTTGCTCTCGTCCCATTCACATTGCCACTTCCCCATGGCTTTCAATCTCAGCGTACGCTTGAAGTAAGAACGCGGCCATGGTATAACTGTCTCTGCTATTGCTGTTTCTGTGGTGGCATCCTTGGCAAGCTGATCTGCCATTTCATTCCCTTCATGGCCCGCGTGTGCTTTTATCCATTCTAATGTAATATTAAAATTTGGATTATTTCTAAGGGCCTTCTGTATCTCTTGAATAATTTCAGAGGGATGGTCGGGGTTCCAAATCGCATGTAATGTTGACAAGCTGTCAGTTTTTACTGTGGCCTGCCTGCATCTTATGGAATGTACATAGTGGATTGCTTGCAATATGGCCAAGGCTTCACTTTGGAAAACGCTGTTGTTTTGTCTGAGCCGGCCCTTCCATTTTTCTATGAGGATTTCCTGCCTCATGGCGGCGTAGGCACAGCCCACTTTCTCCTCCAACTTTGACCCGTCCGTGTAAACTGTCAGGCCAAGTGGCTGGTTATTATCCTTAGGCTTCACCGAGACGTATACCCCTCTTCCTTTAGCCGCTGGGTGTACATCCAACGGGTTGCAGCTTTCCTCATACTCCTCATGGGAGTAAATTTCTTCATCAAATGAGACCATTGTTTTGAGTTGTAATACTTGCTGTCGTGCCGCCTCCTCCTCAGCACGGATGTGAAGAGGGAGTAAGCCTGCCAGCACATTAATGGCGTCGCTTGAAGTGGTGCGATAGGCCCGGGTAATACCCAATGCAAAGGGTCGTTGAATGGCATTAAGGTGTTTAACCTTTCTCCCTTGCATTGGGTAGGCCCATACTGCAGCAGCATACGTGACTATTTTTTCTACCACTGTGGAATACAGCACCTTTTGTATGTGGGGGTTCAGTCCCCATTTAAATCCATAGAACATCTTCATTTGTCGAGCTATTGCAGTTGTCCTTAGTTTAAGGCTTTGCACGTGGGGGATCCAATTCATTTTTTCGTCAAAAATGACGCCAAGATATCTGAGTTCTGACACTATCTTTATCCGCTCTCCATTAATTTTTATTGTGGGCCTGCGTACTAGGGAGCCTCCTTTTTTGGGGATGAGAAGAACTTTTGACTTTTGTTCTGCAATAATCAGTTTCAGTTTATTGCACCGCTCTTGAAAGAGAGTTACAATTACGTTGCAATTCCCTTCGTGTTGAGCCCTTTACTATCAGGGCGGCGTCGTCCGCATATGCGAAAATCCGGGTGTGTGCCGGCCATGGAGCAGTAAGCACTTCATTGAAAGTAAGATTCCAAAGGTGTGGCCCGGCGCACGACCCCTGAGGACACCCTCTCGTCTGTGTCTTTTCAATAATGCCGGCATTGTGTACTGCTAAAAGTCTCCTGTCCTGCAAATAATTGCTTATCATTGCATAAACATTATTAGGACATTTAGATCTTCTCAGGGCTGATTTTATTGCCGGCCACCACAGCGTGTCGAAGGCGTTCTTAAGGTCAATACTGACCATCGCCGTGTGGTGGCCGCTATGTCTGTTTTCAAGAATTGCCTCTTTGATGTCACAAAGGGCATGCACTGTCGACGACCCAGTCCTAAAACCATATTGGTGATCACTGAGAAAATTTGTGACATGCAGATGGTGGCGCAGTCTATTCATCAGAAGCTTTTCAAGTACCTTCCCCATCGCCGAAAGAAGGCAGATGGGGCGGAATGAGGAGGCTTGCGAAGGATCACGATTCTTTTTGAGAAACAGTATTACTTGGCTTATTTTATAAGGCATGGGGAAGAGTCCTATTGTGAAAAGCTTGTTAAAATACTTTTGAAAGAAGTTCGGATGGGTCTTGATTACAGTCTTTACTATTGCATAGTCCATCCCGTCGATTCCAGGGGCTTTCTTTCGGGGAAGACTGGCCAGTACTCTATGTAATTCCAGGGCTGTAAATTCAGGGTCTGTAACTGTTTCTAGTTGTTCTGCCTCTGCACGAAGAGCTGCCTGCTCGTCTGTCTCCTGGTCCTGAGTGTCCTGACTGAACACCGTGCCCATTATTTCTCTTAGTGTGTCGGCCGTATACTCCTGGCTGCTATCTAGCGACGAGGGGATTTGCAGCTGTGACGGTTTAAAAACTTTCCCCGTCGCTATCTTATGATGCAGGCCATATATTGCATTGGTTGTGGAGCAAAACTCCTTCCATGATTGTACTTTCGCTTGTATGATCATTTTCTTATAGACCGCTCGCTCTCTCCTGAAGATGACAAGTGTGTCTGACTCTACTTGTGCACGTCTCTCAGATTTTAGCTTTCGTCTGAGGGCCCTACATTTGCTCTGTTGTGTTCGCAAGACACCGGTCCACCAGTACAATTCCTGCAGTCTCTGTGGTTTCCTTTTTGGAAGGGTTTGGTCGCATGCCGCTTGCAGTGCATCCTGCAGCGTGACTGAGAAGGCCTCCAGCTCCTCCATTGTGCTCGCTTGTTCCAATCCTGATTCGAGATTCTCCAACTGCCTTCTGACTGTTCGTTTAAAGACTGGGAGCTTTCTCCCGGGGAGATTATAACGCTTGATTTTAGTTATGGAAGTTCTTTGCTGCAGGGTGTAGGTTATGAACCTGTGGTCACTCAAGCTCTCCTGATCGACCACTTGCCAGTCTGCTAGTATTGAAGCTGCCTGAAGTGACGTGACTGTAAGGTCAGGCCAGCCCTGAGCAAAGCCTCTATCAAATGAGGGTGGGGCATTTTCTGCATTATTAATTACTAGGTTCCTTGAACCGAAGAAGTCCTCAAGCTCCCTGCCCTTTGCGTCTGTGTCTCTATACCCCCAAGTGACGTTATGGGCATTATAGTCTCCGCCGAAGAGTAGATAGGGGACTTTTACTTTGTTGACCACATATTCCATAAATCTCACTGTGGGTTCTATGTCGGAGGTTGGTGGCGAGTAGCAAGATGCAGCTGCTAGCATTAGGGACTGCACTTCTATTAGTATTGCAACGTTATCACGTTCAGCCTTTATGATTATCGGGGACCAGGCCGTCCGGCAACATACTATTATGGCTCTCGGCGCACTGTCCTTGTCTACTTTCTGATACACATTCCATTTCACCGGGAAACCTGCTGCCATACCTTCTCTTACATAAGGTTCTTGCCCCAATATTAAGTCTATATTCTTGTCTACTGCATACTGCACTGTATGTACTACAGAGGCTCTTGCTCGTTGCATGTTGATTTGCAGTATTCTTACTGGAGTTTCCTCCGTCACTGTCTCGTTGTTAATTCGTGCCTCTGCTGTTCCCTGATCTCTGCGGTCTGGCATCATTTGGTTGCCGCTGCTGTACTCTTCAGTATTCTGTAGCTCCCCGGATTCGGACGACCTCCCTCTGGTAGATGAAGCATTCTGGGGCATATGCGGGGTGGTTGTAGTTGTATTTTGTTCCCATCCTGTGGTTTGTGTCTCCGCAATTAATACAGGATGGGTGCTTGGCTGTGCATTCTCTTGTGGCGTGGTTGCCAGCGCAGAAACCGCAGTAGACCTTTTTAGCTTTGCAAGAGTCCTGACTGTGGCCATACTGCTGGCAGCGATAGCACCTCCGTATTCCCAGGAACTCGGAGATGCCATGTGACTGCCAGGCAGTGAATATTCTTCTGATCTTTGTGGCAACTGCAAATCCTCCCGGTGTGCATTGTATAATCCACTTAACTTTGTGGGACCTTCTTTCTCGCAGGCGGAAGAGAGCTGTGTAGTTCTTCGTGGACACTCCTGCTGTGGCACTGAGTTCTGATATGAGTTCCTCAGGCTTAATGTTCTCTTCAACATTATGTATCGCGATTCTGGGCTGACGACGCTGTTTTCGTTGTATATCCAAGTCCAGATCTGTTTTCTGAAGGTGTTCTCTTAGCGTGTCTATTTCCTCCTCTGAGTTGCAATAGACTTCTAATCCCCCTAGCGGGCCTGGTTGTATTCTTTGGACAGCTATTGGAATCTTATCCAGAGGAGCCTTGTCTTGTAGGACCTTTCGTAGCTCTCCTGGGGGCCTTTTGGTCTTTGGTTTTATGACCAAACTAGGTTTGCTGCTTTTACGTAAAACTTCTGCGAAGCTTGGCGGTGTATGCTGGACTGGCTGTAGAGGCACCTGGACGTCAGTTGACCGTTGCGTTGGAGGCGGGAGCGTATGAACAGCACTGCAACAGACGAAGGTGGACGTATTCGTGCCGACCTCTACTGCTGGTGGTTTTGGGCGGAATCTCGGACCTTCTAGAGCAATGCCTTGAAGGGTAGATAGTGTGTCCTTCAATCTGTCCCGCAGATTCTGAGGAAGTAAATATCGGCCTCCTCGGTATGTATCTGTTATGGTGCGAATTTCCTTAGCAATAACTTCGATCCGCTCTTGCGTAGTGAGGTCTGAGGCTAGCAGTTCTTCTGTATCTAGTGAAGCGGGATGGTTGTCTTCTGCCGGAATAACGGATGGACGCGTCATTTCACAGTTCAAGTACACTCCAAATGTTGCCGTTGAGAGCTTGACAAAATCACCTAAAAGAGCTTGCTTGCACTATGTCACACACAGATGGCCTAAACACTTATTACACTAATCGCTGTGGCACTGATGTGCACCAAAGCACTTGAGATGAAAAGTAGATTTCACTTATCACTTATCACACGTTGAAACTTGAAATCACGAAGTTAGCACTTTTAAGCACGAGGGTATTGACACTTTCACTGATTCACTAAAACACCTAACTTGTATCACAATCACATGTACTTCACAAATTCACTAGATCACAAATCTTGTATCACAACACTTGTGGAACACTGCTGAGATTGTAAAAGACTTTTATCTTGATCACTATACTAAGCACTTTAATCACAAAGCGAGGCACTTATAAAATAGATCATAAACACTGTGTTTACACTGTTAACACCAAAAACATTCGTAGACACTGTATCACTATCAGGAGCACTTTTTGCACAGAGTGAGATCATTTGTATTAGCACAAAACAATCACTATAAGACAGCACTGAACACCTTGTATGCGATTATTGATACTCTCAAACTGATCACTTAATAATGCTTGTCACACATTCACAGGCCGTATTAAATAAATTGCCTAATCAAAATGCAATGTACTACCGATACTGATGTGTGACCAAATATGACGCTGTACTATATACAATCTAGTGGGGGTATGAACAAGATACTGATAGGTGGCCAATAATGGCTGTGTACTGAACAAATATTACTGATACAGGAATATGTGTGTACAAAAATGGAGTATACAATCAGAGTATTATGTCACATAAAACAAATATTGTGGTGTGGCCAATTATGACTGTGTGCTAAACAGATAACAAATACTCAAATTTAGGTGTGACCAGAAATGGCCGTCTACTTAGCAATTAATTATGTTATAAGCACAGAAATAACAAATATGTATTCATGTAAGAGGATACGTATACTAAATACTGAACTGTGGCCAGTAATGGATGTGTACTAAACATAAATTGCAATACAATAAATTGTGTAGGACCAGAGATGGCCGTGTACTTAACTAAATACTTATGTGTGCACAGAAATATCAAGAGTGTTGTCAGTAACCGTGTGCTGGTTAACAATAGTAATTGCTACAGTCACACAGTACTATTAAATTGGAGTTTAAACAAAATGGTGTTAACACATAAATCTTATGTGGCACAAGTATGCAATCAGTTAGGTGTCCAAAAATGGCGGAGTGCTAATTAATAAACAAATGATACAAGCATAAAAACATACAAAGTGTAGCAGTATGTGTCAATACTACAACATAATATGTCAATTATCAGAGAGTATTGCGTGTGTGTGGACAAATATGTCCGTCTTCTTAATTAATTAACAAAAGTTAACGATTGTATATATAAATGAAAGTGGAGTAATTAAATAGGCTAATTAGTTGACTGCGAGGTGTCTCGAACACTAATTAGAGTCACTATTGTGTATGTAAATCCACAAGATAAACCAATTGTTCTT